TTTTTGAAAGCGTCATTTATTCAACCCTCAGAGCAGAGAGATAAATGGTTGTGATCCATGGCTTCCCATTACGTGATGGGATCAGGAATTAAACCTTTCTGCTCTCAGACAGTTTCCTATTTCCTACAAAAATAGGAAATTATTTCAGGTTAAAGAAGGAAAACATCTCACATTTGTAAATAGTTTCTTCACAGTTGTAATCAATACAAAGAAATCAGGAATTTTAATTGTTTTTGTTTATGTAATTTTTCTTTCAGGGAATACAACACTTTCAAAAAATATCCTGTGGTTAAAGGATAATCAAATCAGTTTTCATACATTAAACACCAAATCCTTCCTACATTCCTGTTCCATACTTGTTCCTGGGATTCTTCAAGCTCTTTCTCTTACCAGCTTTTAGTTGATTTAGATTAAGCCCTGTAACTAACACCAAAAATTAATTCATGCCTTAGCAAGGGATTTTGGACTGCTGGCACTGCACCTTTTTGTCTCTTTAGGGCTCCTTCTCCTATGCTTTGCAAGTTTTGTTGTTTTTTTATTTTTTTAAATCACCTTTTTTCCCAGCCTCAGTCTGTCCCTCAGGTATCCCACGGAATTCCTCTGATCCTGTGTGTCATCCCAGCTTTCCTGGAGCCTCACAGGCCCAACTCCACAGGCACCAACCCCACGTGTGCTGCTCCCTTGGGTCTGAAATAAACTCCATTCAACGTTTTGCTGGACACAATCCATCCACAGTGGCATAATAAGGGGAATAAATGGTGCCTACCCAGAAACGCAGCTCAGAGGTTCCTTTCTCCTTCCACATCAGTGTCCAGCTCTGCATCACAGTGCCTGGGATGGATTCATCCACAAACTCTCCTCCAGGTCCCAAAATCCGCCCGGAATATTCCAGCGGCGCCTTCTCAAAGCCGTTACTTTTCCCTTCCCGCCTCTCGATGCTGCCTGAGACCCAAACAACATGATTTTATTTTAGGATCCTTTCCATTTTTAGAAATAAATCAAATGAGTTTTCCCTTTCTCCAGCTGTAATTCACCCACATTGTTGCAGTGGAGCTTATTATCTCATTTACATTTTTAAGAGCTTTTCAAAGTGTAGGATATCTGGGCTGGAAAGCAAAACATTTGATTTCTTTGTTCTCTGGCCAACACAAAGCACTTCCAAGGTCAGGTATGGTGTAGACATTCAACAGCAAACATGTTTACATGGCATTTGAAAGCCCGTTTAACTGAAAAAAAAAAAGAATATTGTCTTTATAAGAGTGATGCAAGTCAGCTTAGCACAGCTGAGGAACAGGAATTCATCTGAACCTGGAAAAATTTAACTAAATAAGTTAAGTTTTGTTTTCTGTTTGGGGGGAAAAAAGCCTCTGATGCTTAAAAGTCGGCCCAGATTTTTATTTTTAATCCCTTTTTCTTCATCTCAGCAGTTATTAATCATAAGCTCCACTGCTCTTTGGGCAAAATGTGTCACTTTGAAGCAGTAGAACAAAAACTGCATTTCTAAACAAAACAAAACATTGTTTAATTTTACAAAAGAGATGTTCTGGGGTGTACCTGGGGTAAGTCCTCTGCTGTTTTTAAGAGTGTTCTACATGGCTAAAGCTCCCCTGTCTGATTCAAAGAAAGATTTGAGGTTCTGGTAGCTTCAGGAATCACCATCAGCATTCAGACTCTGGCCACTGCATGTGAGGCTTTTTGACTACAGAGAGAATTTTCAGTGTGATCTTCAAAACGGTGCATTATTCATGACATCTCTCATGATCCCTCCTAGAAAATTAAAATCACGGCCAACAAACTTGCTTACTTCTAATTGCTATTCTCAGAGTTAATCACATGCAGGAATCTACAGCAACCATGAGATTTTGATGTTACTTTTTCATTTTGGCACGGCTTTGATCAAATGCTGAACTTTTGGTTTTACTTTTTTTTTGCCATTGCGCTCATAGAATAGCTGGAGTACTCAAATGAACATTAATTACTCATGGAATTTATGCAGCACAGGAAGAGTCCAAAAAGGTTCCAGTTAAAGGTATTTGTGATTGATCCAAGGAGTTAGCTGAGTTGTTTCTCTGCCATCCCAATACAAAACCTGCCAACAGCCAGTTATGATGTGATTGGAAAAATCTGTGAGTTCATACAGTAAATTCTGCTTTGGACAAATGTTGAATGGATAACTGGAAGAGTTGTTAGTTTGCTGTATTTACATGCTATAGTAAAAATACCTTATTTCTAAATTTAAATTTAAGACATTTTCTGCTCTCCTAATGAAATAAAACATGTGTGCTCCATGCTGGCAAACACTATCTAGAGTAGGTAAATCTAACAAAGGTTGTGTTATCTGAATTTCCCAAATTAAATGACTTTCAGATGCATTGCAAACCCTCAGATTTAAAGGAACCTCTTGTTTTATCCTCTGCAGAAGTTTATTGTAATTAAGAATGGAGAAGTGAAGGAAGGAAGGAGCAGGGCACTCTTTGCCACCACGGCGTTGCTGTCTCGTGCAGGATCAATTTGGGATCCAGTTTTGTACTCAGGACCTGCAGATGGGGGTGATACAAATCTGTTCTCTGGCACAAAAACATATATTTATACATATTAAACACATGTATTTATACATTGAAATGTTATCTCTTGGCCAGCTTCAAAGTCCTGTGAAAGAGACAAACTTATTCTTCAGCACAAGGGAAGGAAGAGTGATGTGTGATGAGGTTTCTTCCCTCCTTATTTTTCACCATCTGGGCTAGAAAAGCTGATCCTGAAAGAGCAGAAGATGGGTCATACTCTGTAGTTTATCCAAAATGTGCTCCAGGAATGTTCCTGGCCTGGTTATGAATGGACACTTTGGGGTTTTGGCAGGACATTTGTCTAATTAATTGGGTTTTTGGTGATCTTCTTGGTACGAGGAACGACCCTACTCCTTATTGCGTTTCTACATTGCTCATTTTACCTTTTACACTTGTTTGTGTTTTACCTCACAAGATAGATGTACAAAAAGCAAACAAAAAGCCTCCAATTCCCACATAATTCCCACATATTTTTCATTATATTAATGCAAATTCCTGTACTGCAAGGCTTGTTGAGTATTGAAGATGGGTTATGTATTCAAGGCCTGGATTTCAATATTTCTCAGAAGCTGTGATAGCATAAAAGTCCCTGGGCAGATTTGAAGTTCATGCTTGGGTCTGGTTACAATTTTTGGCATCAGAACATGTAACAGACTTACAGCTATAAGACTTTAAAGTTAATGCCTGGCATCACTTCAAAACAGCGTGCAAGATCTATCATAAGTAGTCCTCTTATCTTATCTCAATAGCAATTTTATCCTGTAAATTATTGGAGAGTGCAGGATTTCAGTGCTGTGGAAAAGAGCAAGGCATTTTTTGCTGTTAAATCTTTGCACCACGAGGACTTTTAACGATCCTGAGTTGTGCACAGGTACCCTGGGCTGCTGAAAGCAAACATTAACCATATGGCAGGTCCTGCAAAGCTCCCTGAGTCCGTGGGGTCGTTGGTCTCTCCTCTCAAGGGGAAGGCAGGGGCACCAAGGGAGGTTTAGGTTGGATATTAAGAAAAGTTTCTTCACTGAAAGTGTGGTCAGGAACTGGAACTTCCCAGGGAAGTGGTGGAGTCACCATCCCTCAAGTGTTCAAAAACCAAGTGAACGTGGCATTTTGTGATATGATTGAGTGACCACTGTAGGGTTGCTCAAAGGTTGGGCTTGATGATCTGGGAGGTCTTTTCCAGCCTTGATGACTCTGTGATTCCAGGGTGCTGTGCAGAAGGTCTCTGTGCAGCCCAGCTTTTTTAAAAGCAGCCCTGGAGACTCCTTCAGTGGCATTTGCAGCATGAGCCCCAGCCCCGTGCTGCTTTTCACTGATGGGTATCAATGCCCCAATTTCCTGCCATACAAAAGATAACTCCAAATATTCCCTTTCTGCAGCCACAGCCGCCTCTGTGTTGGTGTCAATCCCCCATCCACATTGTGCACTTTGCCTGGAGTCAGCACTTGCAGTTAACAATGCCTTTATTCAAGCTGACAACATCACTAAGCTTTTAGTAAATGTGTAAGTAAATGTTAAGCGTGTATTCAAACATCCAACAATGAGGAGGAAACTTTCAAAACAAACAAAAAAAAAAATCTTTGAAACTTTGTATTGTTTGTTTGGTGTGTATCTGTTAGAAATAACACAGACTATCAGTTCCTTGGGGCACGCTGTTCCTTTGTTAAGCATGTAACAAAAAGATCAAGGCTCTGAGTAACTGCTGGAATAAAAATAAATATATAAGGAGAACAATCATGACAAAATAAATTTGTCGATGCATTTTATGAGCTCGGTTTAGGGGTGATTATTTCTGAACTAAATAAAGATTGGGTAGTTTTGGTAAGTGACATGATCATATTACTCCTTTTATTTATTGCCATTTATACTTCATTTGTAGATCACATGCCAGATTTGACTACAGGGAAGGAGGGGAGCTCCTCATCTCAGCCAGCATCCCATATCAGTAATATGGAATACATTTCCACTCCAAATTCCAGACATTGTTTTCCAGAGAGAGGATTATTCTGGCTTAAAGAAAAAAACCTGTTGGTACACTGCAAAACTGCTCTGAGGAAGCTCAGGTTGTGCAGATAGGATGACAACAAAAACCTGGGACGTTTGCTGATGCAAATGTTGCAATATTTCCATTGGCCTTCCAACCTTTGATGGTATTTCTTACATTTTTAGCATGAAGTCATTAAGAAGATATAAAAATAGTTTATTTTTAGGATGTGCAGCCTATAATAAGATAGGACTTTTACTATTCTTGTTCAGTCAATGGTCCCACCTCTGCCAAGTAACTCTTCTGAGTGGCCAAGCTGCCTTTGTCATGTCTTAGCACCAAGTTCAGCTGGACTCACAGTGCTCCACTTCCTTCCCCAGCTCGTTGTGACCTGCAAGTTTTGCTGCCATCCCACGTTTCTCACGTGTGTTTTTCATCCCTTGCTGTTGTTCCAGGCCCTGCAGGACGAGGTGGAGAATTACCGTGGGCAGGTTTATGATGCTCAGAGGAGGCTCCAGCGCAATGAGCTGAAGGCCCAGGAGCAGGTACTGGATGCTGTCCCCATCCCTTGAGTACAGAGGTGCAATGGTTAAAAAGAATCCCTTCCTTCAAAGCAAAAGCACATATTTCCCTGCAAAATTCTCAGCTAGCTTTCTCTTCTGTTTTGTTGGTAATAAAAGAGAATCAAACTGTCTGAACCCTTCAGGCAAATACTTATCTGCTGTTCTCTATTGCAAGTTGGTATTTCAGCTATTCTAGCTGTTAAATGATGCATTTATTTTGAACTGTTTGCAGCTGACTGTAGTGTTTTAATAGAGGTTTCTGAGACTATCCGAACCTGTTCTTTAATGGTTTGTATGAAGAGAAGTATAATTGGACAATAACAGCTAAAAATAATCTTTAGTCCTGATCTTCTGCATTCATTGTCCAAACATGTCTGTAAACAGTTTCAGATGATTAATAGTGCTAAATTTTTTCTGGACACTTCCAGTGAAGTCAGGGACTATTTAGTGTACTTTGAGCAAAATAAAACGTGTTTGCAGGCAGTGAAGGAACAGAAAGTCAATGAACTGCATTCAAACCAGATTAAATTAAAATATTCAGGAGAATATGCAGGTGATGAATGCCTGAATCAGATAGGAATTTATGTATTTCTAACACTAATCAGGTTTTGAAGCATTTGAGAACTTTATTTGGTGCTGAGTAAACAGTATCAACAGCACATACCCTTCATAAAGCATTTCTAACTCTATACCTGCTGGAATAATCAGTTGGGGAGGGCATAGAAGATTAATAATCATTAATTTCAAATGTATTTTTCCTCTGTTTTGTCATCCTATTGGCACATGGCAATTCTCTGTCACCCTTGGTGTTTAATTGATGTATTTCCTCTCTGGAGTGTCAGTGATGAGCTGTTCCCTTCTGTCCCCCCTCTGCCTCCCAAGTCCAGATGTTGGGCTCATCCTGAACTGCAGTGCCTGCAGCACTGGAGGAGTTTGGTGTAGTGAGTGAGCTGGCCCACAAACATTGCATTTTGGCTTCAGAGTCTCCTGGAAGAGAAAGAGGAAAATCAGCTCTTTAAAGCATGGTTGTCCCTCCTAGGGAACAGCACTGGCTGCACGCTGTGAGGGATGTCCTTTTCTAATTTTTTTCATGTTTTTCTTTAGTCTCTGCCACTGCCATTCTGCTGCGCTTTTTTTTGTTTTGGTTTGGTTTTTTTGACCCGTTTTGAGAAGGATCCAGAAGAAATAAAAAGTGACTCATGAAATACAGAGGTAGAAGGCTGCACATGCAGATTCACAGGGTGCCTTCAAAGTTTCCTCCCACGTGAACATCTGCACCAAACCAACCTACAGAACTCTCCTGTCCAGACTTAATTAGTGAAGGACTAGTTCAGATGTTAACATCCTGTTCCCCAGTATAATGGAACAGGAATGTTATTTAAGTTACACTGTGCTGTCCATCTTTGAGCTTGATGTGTTGGCAGATTTGGTAGAGCTCATATCCAAGTTCCTCAATGGTCCTGTCCCTGCCTTTCATCCATTGGGACTTTCTGAAGCAGCTGGAGCCACTGAAGCTGTTTTGCTTTAGGTGGCCTCGGTCGATTTTGCAGACAAGCATTTTGGAAGTTGTTACTTGTCTCCTCTGTGACCGGTTAATTCATTAGTTCTGCTTATCTCTCCAGAAGAAAAATGCAAAAGTGACAGCTCTGACATGTTTCCAGTTACTGGGTTTGGCCAGGCTACCTGTAAACATGTTCATCAAGTGTTAACAGTAGTTAACAACTCATCAGCTGGTCAGGGATTTGAAATATTCAGGGCAGTAACTTGCTTTCTGCTTTTACCAAATACTGTGTGAATCAGAATTGCATAAAACATGGAGATTTGTGCTGGCACCATTACAGAAGCCACTTTTCCAAGCTTTTACATGTCTATAAATAAGGAGGAGAGAGGGTTAAAGAGCTTCTGTTTTTCATTAAAAGGAAAAATCTCGTGTTTTGATTCTATAACAACAACAAACAAATGAATGAGACATGAAAAAACATTTTGTTGTGCTTTTAATTGAAACTAAAAAGCTGTTTCTCGTTATGGCTTGTTGGGTGGTATCTTAGTGCTCCATGTTGGCCGTTTTTCCAGTGCAATGTCCTCATAACTCCTCAGCCTGTAAGAGTGACTGACAGAGCCGCAAAGTTTAACTCTTTGTCACAGTGACCCTCTGGTGATCACACAGGCTTAACCTTTCATTATTATAATCATCCACAGAGACAAACTCTCCTAAAAATAAAGGGGAGAAAAGATGTTGGGCTGTCAGCAAGCCCTGAGCTGTTCTGGAGGCGAGCATGGCACTGCACTTGGAGAGGAGCTGATGTTTTTATGGAGCTTTTCCATTCCCATACTTTGTGTTCTTGGATGAACTCATGTTTACTCCTCTTTTCTTTTTCTCTCCCATTTTACAGCGTGGGTCGGTGCAATCACTTCGTGTCTGTGTTTTCTCACCAGTGGTGCCATATGGCAACAATCTCTGGATGATGGGTTCCAATCCCATTTCTCAAAAGTGCTGGCCTAAATAATTTTATTTTTTCCACAAAGGTTGTCCTGTCTCTGTCCTGGTTTTCCAGTGTAATGCTGCACTTCGAGAGTGGAGTCCCAGAGCTGTCTCATCCTTCTTCAGGTCGAAATGTTGGATATTTCCTTGAAAAATTAGATGTCCAGCTTCTTGAGACCTAAATAATTGTATTCATGGAAAGTGATAAACTGGCAGTAAATGTGAAAACTGTAATATATAGTTCTATTTATATTGTTGTTGTTGAATAGATATGGTCACAAGACTGTTAAAGCAGCCTGGGAAGGTTTCTGGCAAATTTGGGTGTGTCCAAACAATTTCCTTGCAAAGCAGCAGTGAAGTTTCTTATATCTCATATATCCTTCATAAATGTGGGATCAGCTTCCTGCCCAGTGATCCCATTGTGTTCCTGTTCGTGTACTTGTGGAGTGAATGTGTCCTTTGGTTGTCTCTGATGTGTGCCTGGATCTGATGTGAGACAAGACTTCCTATTTAACATTATTTCTTAGGTCCTGTGGCTTTGTGCATTTGTCAGTCAGAGTTAAAGAATCTCCATTGTTCATACAGGAGACTACATCCTGTGAATGTGTAATTAAAAATGACACACATCACTGAGGGCTTAATGAACCCAGGAATTTAGGCATGTGCAACAAGTTTTGCTGAATTTGGGCCTATATGAAAATTCATGGTAGTGATCTTTTTTTTTTTTCTACACTACCTAGATTTCTTTAGCATTCATTTCATTTAAAATACTTTTTTGAAGGATAATCACCCCAACTCAGTTTACTTAAAAGCTCCAAGAATATGTCTTTCACAAGAATTTTCTCAGAAAAAGAATTCTTTTCATTCCTTGTCCTAATGTTTCTAGCCATAGATTTGGGTTGAGTATGATATAAAAATTTGGATAACAGAGGAGAAAAAAGTTCCTCGTGTTTGCAAACAACTGAAGTAGCAACACTCTAGATATTCAAACCACAGGGATACCTCCAAACAGTCAAGTCATAAACAGAGTTTTAAAGGAGATTCTGAGACAGAAAATCAATTATGTTCAATTCATTAATATTGCTGAGGAAATGAAGGAAAATAGCAATGGAAGTTTTCAGCCCTTTAATTTCTTTTTCCTCAAACAGATTATAAAAAAAAGAGAAAGGAGTTATCTGAATGAGGATGTTATAGAAGTATTTGGCATAAAATGGAGCAGCTTAGTTTAAGTGGATTTCACTCATGTTCAAATGAAAACAGGAGTGATAATTGTAAAAGACCTATGATTGAAAAGCATTCAGCCAGTTTTCATTTCTAATGTTTATTATCCTGACTTGCTCGATTTTTATTTTTTTTTTATGACTGCTGGATATTTACCACATTCAGCCCAACTTACTGTTTCCATGCCAACTAAATATATTTGTTCTCAGATGAGTGCTGTGATGCATCCTTCTGAAATTTCAGTTGCTGTGTAGCACAGAGAAACTTCTAAGGTTTGCCACACCTTCTCCTTGGTGGGAATAGTGCTGCTGCCAGTGGATTTGTGGAGCTGGGAGCAAGGAATCAGTGAGACACAGATGAGCAATAGACATTGATGTCGATGGTATGAGTCCCAAGTAGTTCTTAATCTGATGGCTGGAACACTTGAGTAATATTAGCTCTTTAGTTTAGAGCTTTTTGGCCATATTTCCTCTTAGAAATTTTCTACTGGAAGTTGTCCCTGCCCATGGCAGTGATATTGAGATGAGATGATCTTTAAGGTCCCTTCCAACCCCCAACCATTCCATGATTCTGTGATTTTTAAAGGTATCAGAGAGTTTTAAATACCATCAGATGGCAGCCTGGGGTGCCTGCCTCAAATTCCCAGACTGTCCCAGTGTTGTCATCCTCAGAACATGGTACAGTCACCCAGAATCAGGCAAATAAGCTCCAGATGAGGATATCTAAAAGCCCAGGTTGGCTTTGTGGCCAGCTGCAGGTGAGGAGGGTGGAGGGAGCCTTTGTGTCACCAAGCCAAGGGACACTTTGAGATCCAAGCAGTCAGGAGGGGCTGGAGGTGGTGGTGAAATTCTGCTGTTTGCTCCACTTGCTTCAACCCACATCACTGAAACTTTTCCAGAATTGCTCCTCCAGAGACCCATTTCTGCTCCCACAGAAATGGGAAGCCCAGCCTGGATGTGGATGATCTTAAACCACAGCAGTGATTCACTGAGAGCAGCCTTTGCCGGGGCTCAGCAGCCTCTGGAGCCACGGGGAAAAGAGTGAGAACCCGGAAGAAATTTCCACTGCGACTTTCAGGAACTGCACCACCAAATATTGTCACATTAAAATAGCTTCTGCAGTTTCTGCCTGTGACCAGCACAGATGGGTGGATTTGAAGAGTGTTTTTGAGCAGTTCTGTGTGGCTGAGGAGGGACCTTCTGTCATCTCCTCCATGCACTGCTCTGCTGACACCCCCAGCACTGGGGCCAGGAGGGACCTGTGTGTTTCAGCTCTTTTC